ACACCCTGACCTACACAAACTGTTCATAATTAATGTGCATTTTAGATATTCACCTTCTGGGTAATTTCTTACGAAGTAGTAAAATACAGCTAATGTATTCAATTTCTGAAGTCATTTTCATACATATTTGTATTTGTGTATATGTAGTCCACAAGATTTCTTAAGATCTAATACCACTGCAAAGATGTTTATTATTTTTTTGTAGCTAGAATATTTAACATGATATTTACCTTCTTGACAAATTTTTAAGAGCATAATATGATATAGTTGACTATAGGTACAATGTTGTTTAGCAGATCTCCAGAATGTATTCATCTTGCTATACTGAAACGTTATGTGGCATGATTAGTAACTCCTCATTTTGCCCTCCTTCCAACTGTCACGCCACTGTCTGATTCTTTGAACTTGACTCTTTTAGACTCCACCTGTAACTGAAATCATGCAGCATTTTTCTTTCTCTGGCTGGCTTATTTAACGGTATAGTAGTATTCTTAAGGTTCATCTACACTTTCACACATTGCACCATTTCCCTCTCTTCCTCTCTGCCTTGATGCTTCTGGTTTTATTGTTATTTGATGAGAATAGTAATGCATGTAGGAATGAATCTACTCTTTGAGTGTCAAGGCTACATTATTTATCCTCCAAAATACATTATTTGATGAATTATGAACTGTTAAATGGATCACAGTAATCTTGTCCACAGTTTAATTTTAGTGTAAATATTATTAGGTCTTCTAAATTCTCTAGCTTTACACTCTATTAGTTTTAATCATCATTCTTTTCGTATTTTGTGTCTGTTGTACAGCATGATGCTGCTTCCTGCATAATCCAGTCAGCAGGGAGGCATTGCAGACATTGGTACGCAGCTGTCTCAGGTTCATCCCATTGTGTTATTAATTCCACTATCTCTCTCCTTCTATTTCTCTTTAATATGACATCGACATAGTTGGTTCAGTGTGCACTCTCTTATGACATTTTAGGATTTCCTATAGTTGCTCTTCAACATGTTTGCACTTTTATAAGAACAATTTAAATGTCAGCATACTTCATGAATATTGTATCTAATTATGAAAAGTCTCATAGATTTCACAAATAGGCAAAACTTTTTCAGTAGAAGTTAGAAATTTGTACCACTATTGGACAAATCTTCGTTTTCTTAATAGTTAAGAGGTTATAGTACTAATTGATGAACTATGAAGGAATTTACATCACTATTGAAAAAGTCAGCACTGAAGATAAAAAGTCCCTTCTCCTTCAGGATGTTTTATGTTCTGCAAATATTAACAAACTGAAAAGTCTCACTGGTTTAGAATCTTTAATGGATATACATATAAAACTTAATACAAACAAAATAGTTTTTTTTACTATCTTTTATAAACCTATTGTAGGATAAAAACTGCATATTCAGGTTAATGCTATAGGTGCTCTTTTTGTGTGATTGAAATAGAGATATAGGCAAAATGTGGAGTCATTTGGTCACTTTTTTATTAACTGCTTTGATGTTGGATGATGTTTTAGTTTTTTTCATCTTTTTGTCTGCTGTCATCTTTGAAACTCTTATACTTGCTAATATGCTTCAAGCAACCTATTGGTGGTAATGATCTATGATGTATTAAATGAAAATGAACTAAAACATATTTTCTGCACTCTTCTACCATAGTAAGTGAGGTATAATGTTGCTATCAAACCTGGATTACTCTACTTATCACTAGACTAATGCTTTCTATACAAATGCACACACACACACACACACACACAGTGCATGTATAGGCATGGGTTGAACACACATGAGCACATTCAGACTCCCACTACTGACATTTGTGATCACAAATTAAGTAGATGCATATAGGTAAATATCTGGATTCTGCACAGGCATACACATACCTCCATTCTTATTCACACTGCACTGATAAAGCAATGACTGTGCTTTACATTAATAGAGCCTCTTCCAAAACGATAAGCAGAGTAAAAAAACAGTGTTATATACCCTGTTTTTTTTATGATTTTAAATATTTTACCACAGCAAATGAACTCTATACAGAAATAATTTAGAGAAATTCCATAAGACCACAATAATTGTGGTTTTTCAAACTATTTAAAAATACCAGTATCAAGCTATTACTATGTCGCTTGAACCATTTTTGGATTTCTTAGGAGAACAATTGTGCTTTTGAACCTGGTAGTCTCTCTTTTACTCAAAGTCATACTACAAAATAAGAAAGGCAGGATAGAACTAAAACAACACAAAACAAAAATCAGGGATTTAAATAATAATTTTTATCCATATAAAATTCTCATTTGGATTGAAAATCACTTTTCATAATTGCTTCAGCTGCAACAAGAGAAGTATTTCAAGATTTTCAGTCTGTATTTGTGGACTGATGCTGTGAGTGATCACAGAATATTAAAGCTGGAATAGATCAGTGGTATTATCTGGCCCAGTGCTTTTTAGTTGGTGTAAATTAATTACCTAAAACTTTGTAGGGTAGAGAATGAGATTGAAAAAAAAGGAATCCCTCTCATTTCAGGGGCGGAAAGGGAGGCATGAAGACATTAAGTTGCCAACTTTATTAGAACTCGTTACTAGCTATTGGGACTAATATTTAGACTGTTAATATCTCATGGAGTGACTTCCACTACTCTATGTTAATTGTTGATGGCTTTAAAGTGTCACCTGTAGGTGAAAATATAATAATTTAATAAAGTAGAAATATATTTCTTGGCTGTCTGGACAGTACATGTATTGTTATGTTATGTTGGCAACAAAAGTGGGATTCTGAATTCACTGCTGGAGAAACCCTGAATTTTACTAAGCTGAACTCTAGAAAGAAAATGACAATGTCATTTTAGTACATGTGTTTAACAGACTTCATCTTGTAATATTTTGACTAGGTAGCACAGAATAAGATCTTTTTTTACAAAATGTATTTGTAGGCTGAAGTCTAGCTTCTAGCCACTCTGACTAAACAAATGTAATTGCTCTGAATGGACTCTAAATAGCTTTCAACATTTCATTACAAAGCAATTACATGTGAGTTTTTCCCAGAGCTCTCAGCATGGCTTTTAAAAAAGAAATTACACAAACAGGTGAAATCAGCCATTATGATATATAACCTACAAGCCTGAGAAGCAAGGTTTCAGAGTGTTAGCAAAGCTTCAGAGTGTTACTGGAGAGAGGGAGGCTTAAACCAAGTGATAAACAACTTTTGTTTTCAAGATTGCCTTGCAAAGAAAATTTAACAATGATAAAAGGGAAGATTTACTTAATTGTACATTGCTATAAAGCCCTATAGAATTTATTAGACATTCCACAGAGGTTAAAAGAAGATCAACTTCTTATAAATTCATATTTTTAAAATATACATTTGACAATGTAAAGCAAGACATAACTGAATATGTGTCTGTGTTTAAGAAGGACACAATTGTCTTAAAATTAACCAAATGCTTACCGTGTACCAAGTACTTTTCTGAACACATTACAGGTATTCTCAAAGAAATTCTGTGGAGAAATTGTTTCTGCTATCCTTATTTTTTTCACAGAGCAAAATGAAACACAAAGAATCTAAGAAATTCGTTCAAGATCAAGCAGTCATTGATGGGAGGTTGTTCAAACAAGGTATTCTGATGCCTGGACAAAAGATCTCAACTTCTTTTAATTTTACTATTAAGGATCCTATATGGATATGTGACTCACTGGAAATTTAGAGATGGAAAGAAGGGTGAGCAGATAACACCATAGCTAGGCACAACTTTAAAAAATATCAAGTATTCTTTTGGCCTTAGTGGTGTGCTTCCAAATATGGCATTTTAAAAAATGAAGACACTATCAATGGCACAGTATGGATGGATTGTGTGTATGACAGGAGTTCCTGACTGGGGTAAAGGGTTTTCAGGAGATTCACATCCCCCTTGCTTTCCTACTTTGTAAAGATGTACATCTGAGAGTTTCCTTCAGACAAGATTTCTGCTTCTTGTTGCAGTTTTTAAAGGGGTACATGGCTTCAATGTCTACAACAGGGATGAGAAAATTTTCAGTAAAGGACCAGAGAGAATACTGGAGATGTTTTGAGCCACAGTGCCTGTTTTTCAATACTCATCTCTGCTGTTGCTTTGGGAAAGCACCTGCAGATAGGACAAAGAGAGTACGTGTGGCAGTGTCCCTGTAAAACTTTACTGTGGACTTTGAAATTTGAACTGTATATACTTTTTATGTCACAAACTATTATTGTTCCTCTCATTGTTTTACAGTCATTTTAAAATGTAGAAAGAGAAAATAAATGAGCAAACAAACAAATCACAAAACACCTTTTTAACTCGGTGAGTGGTAGAAAACAGGGAGCAGTTCAGATTTGGCCAGTGGGGCATAGTTTGTCAACCCCTAGACCACAGGAGTAATTCTTCCCAGCATAATGGGCATTGTCAGAGAACTTTTTAAGAGGGAATTCTCAAGCCTCTTTTTAATCTACTTCCAGAAACTCTGGAAATACAGCCCAGTAATAAGTGTAAAAAAAAAGTGACTTCTAGGTGAAACAGATACTAAAATGTGAGAGAAATTTCTCTAGGGTAATTGCTCTAATGATTTAATCCATCTATTCATTCTTGAAACAAATTATTTTTGAGAGGTTAATTATGTAGGAATACAATGGAGAAAATACTATTTTTCTTTGCATAGATGATAGAATAAATCCTCTAATGAAACAAGAAATGGAAACTTTGAAAATGACTTGCATTACGTCTGTCCACATATATGTCTTAGTATATGTGACATACTTTTGTATTGTGTTCTATTTCTATAGGAGCCAACTCAATAAGTTGATTTTTTACAGTTCACCAGTGGATTACAACTGTAGTTGCAGCTGGGGATTTAGCTCAGTGGTGCCGCCGCCTGCCTGGCAAGTACAAGGTCCTGAGTTCAATGCCCAGTACCCAAAACAAGACAAAACAAAACAAAACAAAAAACAAACAACTGTTGTTGCAAAATATGATTAAAATATGCTCACCAGTGCAAATTCCTTGTTGAGAATCATCTGCTCCACCAAAGATGACTCATTGTGGAACAGGTGGGGCTGCATATGACTCCACATGTGAGGAAACCACCAGAACTCATCCACAGACCGAAGCAAAAGGTCATCACCTTCATCTTCCTCTTCAGTTCCTGGAAAACATAGAGGTAAGCATGGCTTTAGTGAACATATACGACTTCAACAGTTATTGTCAGATTTAATTTCATGTTACTGATACACAGGTTCAGTTGTGGGTTTTTTTTTTTCTCTTTATTTTGAGTTTATTGGTACAATCTAAGTATACAATACAGTTACATTCATTACTGGGATCCTGTACCTTCACATGACAGTTCTTGGTTCTCATTTTTTCCCCTTGTCCCTCCCCTCCCTTCACCCTCTCCTCCCCTCCCCATTTACAAACTCTTTATTTCCATTTTTTCATTAATTTAAAAGATCATCATCTAAATTTTATCAAAGAGTATAGGAAATTGGGTACTGAGTAGTAGCTGTCACTGGCCCTGGCTGTGAACAGCTAATTTAGAATTTAAGAGAAACTGTTACCTAATTTAAAATTATTTATTTTTTAAATTGTCTTATTGTACATATCTGACAAGATATAGCAAGACATTTTTCTCAAAAATTTCTTATATAGATCTAAAATTGAGTTTATTTTTTAACTGATAAATTTTGTTGATGTTTATGATTACAAAATAATCATGTTTATTGAAAAAAGTGTGCAAAGCACAGAGATATATTTTATTTAAAAAACCTCAAAAATAAAACAGCTCATAAAACCATCTCTAGAAGTACCCATTGGAATCTTTTGTATATCTATCTTTAAAATGTTTATCTACTTATTTTAAAATAATTTTGCTCCTTGTATTTTAGCATAAGACATATAAAATTTCCCATTTTAGTACAACTATTTCAGAAAAATTTAACAATGAATCTTATAATTGTTTATAATATAAATCTGGCTTGACAATTTAAAACTAGTATTTTTTTTCTCATGTTTTGGAAAAATCATTAGTGGCACCTAACACATAGGAAAGCCATTGTTTTACCACAAGTTAAAAAATAAAGAAAAAATCCAACATTTTTTTCTAAGAGAATTCATTATATTGCAGCTATCAAAGAATGTTTTCATTGTATAAAATCACTGTATAAAATTTTATAATATTCAGTTCAATTTTAAAATATTCTAAATCAATCATAATAATCAATTCACATTAGGTCTCCAAATATGAAACCAGATCATTAAAGTAAAATGACAAGTTGGGTTATAGTGTGAAGCACATTTATTTGGTTTATTTTTCATGACTTCTACAAGTGGGTGCTTAATTTTATATTTTTTACTAAAATTTAAGAAAAAAATAGTAAAGACATTTTGTTGAATTTTTAGACTGTTTAATTTACATCTTCCATAAAATGGACTTCCTTGTATGTGGAAGTAGTGCCACGAAAGAGGTGAAACATATATTTGATGTCAGTTTATGGAATAGAGACTCTACTTATGTCACTTAATTAATGTGATCTTGAAAAATTAACTTCTCTGCATCTTAGGGTCCTGGGTAGGAATATAGATATAAATACTTATCACATAAATCTTAGTAAAAAAAGGCAATGAGATGAATTTATCAAATCACTTATAACTATTTTGCGACTTGCAGATCAAAGGATTTATAAATATTATGATCTTAAAAATAGATTCAACTGGTTTATACTTGCTGAGTTTTTAATTTGTGTTTTTACACATTCTAAAAGTCTTTAAATTATAGATCATATTTTTTTTGAAGCCAGGCACTGGATTTTATTAACTTCCATAAAAACATGCTACTTCCCTGGAGCAGTGAATAAATGAATAATTTTATCCAGCCTATGTTTACATAGTCAGTGGACTTCAGCAGCTTTCTAAAGCTACTGAAACGGGTACCAATATGTGTGTCTTTTACGTATATTCATTGTTCCAGGGATAGAGTTCTTAATTCACACTCCCAAAAGTTATATGGACTCCCTTACCAGATCTAAATAAAGTTTGGCACCAGTGAATATTACTACACAGAGCAAGAAATAGAAGTTTTTAAAGTAGTGCAGTTTTATGAATATGAAGAGACAGAATTCTTAACTTTTGTTAAAGTTATCTTAAAACATTAGTACAATGGATTCATAATTCTTTGGCTTTTGTGAATGTTATGAATATCAAATATTGAAATCCAAATGCAGAAGAATTTTTATTTCCTCAGATGAAGTCTTTATGCTACGGAAGTTTCTCATGACCATAATTTAGCTGACCAAGTAATAGATTAGAATTACTTATGTCACATATGATCAAGGAATTGGTAGTTCACTCTACCACAACCCCTGGAATTGGTGTGTTGTGCTTTGAATATAGAATGTTTGAGAAATGCTGCCTTTCTCTTTTAGCACCACTCATTACTGCAAGTGGCAGGAGACACATAATACACACTTGACCAGAGAGAAGGTCAGTTACTCAATTTAAAGGAAATTTTGGCTACTACTGATATAAACAGATGCATGACTGATCATAAAATCTGAGTTGATTTTTACATCTGACATTATATTAGTTTACAAACACTCTCCACAGAACTGAGAGTGACATTTACAGCTAATTTTCTATTATAACTTTTTAACATCATGGATTAATTTCTGTCAGCCTTTCTCCTATTTTATGCTGGTCATATAGTTCAAAACCACATGAGGCAGATCCTTGACACTGAAAATATCTTAATGGAAATGTGATACCAAGTCATGCCAAGGGAATACTGCAGAGTTTTAATAGTTTTCAAATGAAACTGTTATATTTTTTACCAACTCTAATTACATATTTTACTATATTTAATGTAAGTTTAAATTACACTAAGTCCCTGACTTAAGGAACATTTGAGTTGTGAATTTACACAGATACAAATGATCTCATATTAGAAACATTCATAGAAACATTAGTTTATGTGTCTGTCAGATGTCACAGTTGTGCTGCTGTGTGTTTACTGTGCTTAGAAGAAAAGATAGTTTATTTATAGTATTTGTATGTGTTTGTTTTATTATGCTTTGCATTGTATATTTGTGTCAAAGGTGTGGAAAACTCACTTTGTTGGATTTAGGAACGAATCCACTTAAGACATTCTCCCAGAATGGAACGCTAAGTTGGGAACTTGACTTTATGTGTAAAAATGTAACTTGTAGTTCATGTATGATCATATTAACACAAGTTAACATATTAAAATTCTGTTCTCAAACTGAGCCTTTTACTTTCTGTTTGGTGTGTTTTCTGAATTTTATTTACTATAGTTTGAATTTGAAAGGTAAAATTGCTTTGTTAAGTGTAAAGTGTCATAAAAATATTCCCTCTTACACTGTTATTTCCCGTGATGTAAGGTGCGGTGATGTCAGTCCTTGAGACCTCTAGGCAGTGCCACTGGGCACTTTTCTTTTGGTGGTAGCTTTTCTTGTTTTTGTTTGTCTGTTTTTGAGCCCTTTCCTTTTAACCTTATCTACAGTTATAGAACATGATTTGATTTAAAGTAGAATATATGAGGAGGTAAGCCCTTTGTTTTAATTTCTGGAGCATCTGTGTTCTGTGAGTCTGCAAAAATAACTGTGTGTTTACATGTGTGCATTGCATCCAGAGCCCAGTGACCTGTATCTACAGGACAAAATAAGAAAGAAATTTAGCAAGATCTGAACTATAGGTTAATATCCTTAATGGCACAGTTAAAACATTAAACTAAGTTACATAAATTTCCAGTGTCTGGATTCTTTTATACAAATATCTATCTTATATATTTGCTCTTTATATGTGAAATACTGCAATTCCTAAATGGTAATATTTCCTAATTTTATTTGCACACTGAATTTGGTATGGTTCCATATAAGTGAGTCTAAAATAAACTTATTTTAACTGTAACACTAAACAATAGAAATTACATGATGAACAGTCGTTGAAATATTTATAGTTTCAAAATTAAAAAATGGATTCATATAAACTACCATTCACATTTTTAATAAAATTTTATTTGTAGATATATAAATGCTTTTAATATTACCAATAAATGTAGCACTTACCAATATTTGGCACTGTTCCAAGTGAAATATATTATTACTGCATTATCCCATTTTGGAGATGTGGAGATTGAGGTACAGAAAGGTTAGTAGGTTGTGTTCACCTACTAGTTAATAAAATTTCAGTCCTTATTTTCTGTAGTTTTGAGGATCAAAACCAAGTTTTCCAGCAGATTAAATAACTATCACTGAGCTACATTCTTAGCCCTTTTTAATAAATAAGTAAATTAATTAGTTAATTTGATACCAAATATAGATTTTTAACACAAGCTGTTTCCAATATCTAGTCTTTTAATCCATGTTTTATCTAGAAAAGCTAAAATAAACAAACAATAAATTAGAAAGTATGTTGCATTCTTCTTATTTTCATTTTTCAAAATTAATGATTTCATATAAACTGCCATTTTTTGTAAAATTTACTCCCCTGGAAAAGACTATTGTTAAGCCAATTTGCAAACATTATTCATGCAGTAATTGTTGCCTGGGTCCTGTTGAATTTCTTTCAAATTACTAAAAAAGTAATGATTATGAACAGAAATTTTGTCCCATAAATCACGTAGCTGCTCCTTACCTAGAAAGCAGCTTAATGTTGTAATGTCACCATTTTCCAAAAGAGCTTTCATTGTGCAATTTCAATCGTGTTGTGAATATTTCCAAACTAAAATCTTTCACTCTAAACTCCTTGCTTTTATTTTTTTCCTTTTAATCAGTATTGTGTCCTTCTCTCAATTTAGCATCCATGAATGAATGACTTTTAGGGAAGGCTTAGTAATATGCCCCTTTAGTAAGATTGCTTTTAGCATGTGAAGGACAGAGAAGCTAAACAGGGAAGAATACATGATAAATACAAATAGCTGCAGCTGGCTAAGATATGCCGAATCAATCATTATTACACTGGACATGTGTGATTAAATGTCTTCAAAACAATGAAGCTCATCAATCAGAATCCTTATACGTTGGGAAACAGATCATCCTGGGAGAGAACTGAGGCAGTCATTGTGACGAGACCGTCTCCTCAGAGTTACATATCACAGCCAAGCACACACAAGGAGGCAGAGCAGTGCCTTGATTTGTAATTTTTTTTTCTACAATATTAAATCTTCATATAGAAGTTTGACTTGATAGAGCTGCTGCATGCTTTTCTGATAGTGGGTATCACTGTTGTGTAATTCATCCCTGCATGAAAGCTTGATTTGCCCAAGTGCGTTAATATGTACTCAACATAATATGATTGCACTCTCGAAATTTGTTATATATGCTTTTCAATGCTCCTGCAGATAAAACAGCGTAACAGTTAAATAAAAGTTATATATTAGTGTGAAGGAAATAAACTTTCAGGATTTACAAGTTTATGTATACTGCTTATTCTCTGAAGTGCACTATAACCACACAACTGCATAGGCTGTTTCTTCCATCACTTTTCCTAGGATAGCTCCAACACAGAGTCAATAAGATCTGTTAAAAATATATAATTAAAATGTCTTTTTTTTAATCTCCCTTCAACAGCTATCCCAGTAATGTTGCCTGGTTTGTCGCTTATTTCCTAGTGGATGTGCACTGTGTACATGTTCAGGATTATAGATAAATGGGAAGCCTTTAAACTCCTATCAGCATTAACTCTGTCTGGCAGGTCTAATAGGTCTGAATCTAAGAAGTAAGTAAAAACTGTGGTGGTTATCCAGACGTATTCAGCCCAAAGGATGCCTTTACTTATATCATTCAGTTATTGCAGACAAAATAGTATTGTGTGTGAATTCCAAAGAATCTCATAATTTTTTTCCTTGCATGAGTAGACACAGCCTTTACAGTTATTTGGTTTATAACTTCACAGTCAGAGCTTCTTAGTCCTGAACTCATTTCTTAAGGGGGCTTTTGAAGAAGATTTATAAAACTATGTCTATTTTCAAAATTGTAAGCTGGAATTGCTTTGCTTGTGCAGGCATGATGACCCAAATCTCTTGCTGTAAAATGCCTTTTTAAAATATGTAATCACTTGATTTATTAACTAATTTGCTTTCTATTACTTTAGACAGATTTACGTGTTTCAAAGCGAGCAAAAAAAGCATCAGGAAAAGCCAATAAGACATTACTCCTTTGATATTCTAATAAACCATGCTGAGATTTTATGTTAAACTGCCTCTTTGGGTAAACAAGCTGCATTTATGATAATTACATACTACCTTTGCATGGAATATTTTAAATGGGTCAATAAGTGGTATATATACATAGAGAAGAGTATGAAAGGTTTCCATTAAGATGCTGTGAAGAAACAACAACGCAGCATCCTACACAAAGTGTAAATGCACAAGTAGGTGCAGACTATGTGTGTTCCCATAATACAGGGCCTAGTACATATTTTAGTACTATTTCTGCCTGAATTTTAAAGAATGCACCTTTATGAACATAGATCTCTCAGTACTAGGGCTCTACAGTGCTAATATTCTGAAAATAAAAGTCAAAATTTGGAGGAAAGGGTGTAAAGAGGTGAGAAATACCAGAACACAGAGTAAAACATGAATAGCAGTTCCATTTTGAGACTTTGTTGAAAGGCTGAGACTGAACAGAAATGCAACAGCTAGATAGAAATGAAAAGAAATACAAGACTGATTGTGAGGTTGTTATTGGGCCAAATTATTGATAATTTTTAAAAAAATATCATAGAATAGAAGATAAACTAACATAACCCTTAGGTTCTATTAAATTATTTTGAGATGATTTTTTTCCAAAGGAAAACTTATATGCACAAAATAATCCACTACCTTGACTATTTAACAATTTTAAAACACTTTAATTAATAATATTTATGTTAGTATTATCATCATAATCATTACTATACTGTTTCTACTTAAATTCTGCTGACGAAAAGGGTCCATAGTCATACTTAGAGCAATAATTATGGTTTCTTTTACTGAGGTAAAAACGGCAATTCACTTTCTCTTTTGCCCTTGATTTTAATAATATTTGCCAAAGTAAATGAGTTCATTGATTTTCGATTTGGCCACTCATATAATGCACCCAAATTTTTCCCATAATCAGTCTGGACATTCTATTTTTCCTACTTATGGAACATTTAAAATCTTATCTCCTATTTATGTGTAGCTGCCTGAGAACACAAAGCTCCTTCTTACCTGTGTGGTAAAACTTCCCTGAAAATCCAAGGTTGAAGGTAAAATTTGCAACCTGAGTGCGCAGTAAATTTTGGGTCTCTAGTAATGCCTGAAATAAATAAGAAATTAACATGATTTTAGAAAATAAATATAAAGACTTGGGATGCCTCTTTTGCAAATGTGTGCGCGTGAATGAAACAATAATATGGGCTTTGTTGCTTTTTGGATGTTAGATGGGCACCATTATGTAGTACTTATATTTCAAGTATTATAATTACTATAGTTATAGTTATTATTTTTATTGAAGATTACCAAATTACAAAACAGTTAATTTCTAAACATATTACGCATTGCTGAAAAGGAATTCTCTAACTGCCCAGTACTGAAATCATTTTTCATTTCTGTGTGAGGCATTTCTTGAATTTTAGATTATTATATTTCCTTTCCTTGGTGGGGAAATTTTTCAAAATTGTTGAACATAGAAAAATTATCTATCTGTAAGTAAGAAAGAGAAAGGAATGTTTGTTTGAACTACAATTTAAATGTTTTATTTAACTGTGCTAGCTTAACCATAATTTTAAGGCATAAGTACTGAGATGAATGCCTGAATTTTTACATTGTAAACTTATATTTTATAAGGCATTTCTTACAAATATAGAGATAAGGAGAAAGAAAATCTATACTGATTTTTTTTTTTTTGTACTGTGGATCAAACTTGGAATATTGCACGTGAGAAGCAGGCAGGGGAATCACTGAGCTAAATCTCCGGCCACAGCAAAGAATATATAATAAGTACCCTTTGGGTTATTAGCTCTGTTATAGCATCTAAAGATAACAAAAATTTTCCTAAATTCTAGATTAGGATTTATATTATGTTAATTTTTTGTACACAGAGCAAGAACACATTGATAATAATTAGTCAGTATTAGTCAAGTAAAATTTCTGCCAATCCTTCAAGTAACTATTATTCTTAGGTTAACATATGCAGCGTAATTCAGAGCTCTCATATCTGTGGGCATTTTGTTTGCATATTGGTCTGCTTATTCATCCAGAATGCCTTTAACATTTTTAAAATAGATATTTAGAGTGGATTCACCTTGTTCAAATGGAAATGAGAAGTTAATTTCAAACGGGGTAACAGTAAGACTATTATTTTGGTTACTGCTATCTATCTGTTGAGGTGAATAAAAATTCAGAGGTTCAGACAATTTTTTTTTTTATTATCCATGGTGGATAAGAATTTGCTTAAAAAAATGTGAAGTTAACTGTTCTTTTGTCTTGAAAATTGGTTTACTTTGAAAGAAAGAAAGGAACAAATAACTAAAAGAATGATAAACTATATCATCTGTGGTTATCTAAGGCTGTAATTATAAAGTATAAGCAAGGCCAATCTTTTTCAAATATTAGCACTTAAATAGACAATGAAAAAATATACTCATTGGTTTGACTCAGTTTTAAGTCTTTAAAGTATCAATTAAACATTAAATGATTGGGGTTCAAAACAGAACATATGGAATTATTTGTAATTGCTGGTAAACATAGACTTAAAATAAGACCATGTATTATTATTTCTTAGTGAGCTGCTTTTTCTGCCCCTCTTTATTTGATGTACAGCCCTTGAGTGCCTAGATCTTGAAATATATATTTCTGCATTCCACTCCTTCACTTAAATCCTGTTTACTCAGTTTTCTTTGAATTCTTTAACTCATTCTTTATTCTATGTTTATTTATACAGCACATGTTCTTAATTTTATAAATGGGTAGTATGTTTAATAAAAGAAAAAGGTTCATATAACATTGGACTTTACTGCCAAGAGGACAGATATAAAACAGTCATGCAAATTTGTAACTGCACCTCTTGGTAAGTGTGACAAAAGAAAGCTTGATCATGCTGTGACAGACATAGAGAGGGGATTTTAGATTTGGAGACAAAGCCTCTACATTTCTTGCTTTCTTAGGGCCAGGGGAAAATGAAAAGGTGGAATTTTTTTTCCTGATCACCTTCCCACAACCTTAGACAGGCCCTCATTGCCTTCTTCTTGGGTTTTGAAAGTCCTAGTTCATCTCCAATTCCCACCTGCCATTCCTTCCATTCTCACCTTCTCCCCCTGCAGTCACCCTAACCTCCCAAAGGCAGTCAGTGCTCTGCAACACTGGGTCTTGGAGGCAATGAATTCATGTCACAAATTTTGTAAGTCATTTCACTTCTCTAGTCTTTCCCTTTGCAAGTAAGATGTTGAATACTTATTTCATGTTATTATTGTGAAAATTACATGTCACAGGTCATGCAGACTATTTAGCTAAGTGTCTGTGCATAGAGTTGAATAAATACTGTCCCCCCATAGATATTACTCCCCTAGATATATCATTCTCTCCATATCAGTTAGGAATCCTTGATGCTTCCACATTTGTAATTGGACAGTCTACGGTCCTCTTGCCCCAAAACCACCATGTACTGAGGTTAAAGTGAACTTTCTTCTACCTCTCACATTCCTTCACACTTTTTCTTGCTGTTCCTCTGCCTAGAAAGCTTCCCTTTGATCCTTTTCCCATTTGCCAAACCTACCCTTTTTTATAACCTCTGCCCCAATGCCATCTTTTTATGCAAAGTTTTCCTGATGCTTTAAAGTTTTTCCTTTTCCATCTCCCAAATAACATTTCAAATTTATTTTCTGAAGGCTTGCATTATTTTCTATTTTGTTACATATTTTCTTTATATTACTTCTTTCTGTAGTCTCTAAACACCTTCAGGTTGATCAAACCTAAGTCATTTTTATGTATCTCATGTTGCTAAATGTATCATGTACATGTGAAAGCTATAAAACATATGACAAAAGTGACATTAATACACAGCAGTAAATATAATTAGTTTCCCTTATTCTTATCAGTAATATTTTTCCAACAGTAAAATGATATTTGTAATTGATTCATAGGCTGTGATTATTAATTGTGATGTGTCCACTTGACTTAAATAACAACCATTTATTAAATGAGTAATTTCTAGATATATCTATGGATGGGTGAACCAGTAAACGGAGTGGGGAAGCCCGAACCAGATATGGTGGTACCAACCCATAGGCTTATAGCCTAGACAGAATAAAATGGAAATGAAGGGAGCTTTTGAACATCAGTCTCCAGTTTCTTCAGCTTTCCAGGGCAGATTCCAATGCAGACTCTGGTCTTCTAACATAGACTCACACTTGTGGCTACAATGTGCTTCCAGGTCTTTGACCTTAGACTGCCACTGGATCCTCTGGCTCTACAGTGCACTGATGATCATTTTGGAGTTTTCCATCTTTGATTGTGCAAATGACCACTGGTATTGTTCCCCACAAGGAATGCAAGCATTATGTATTACACACAAACACACACACACACACACACACACACACACACACTAAAAATTAAAAAAAAAAGCTTCAGAAATAAAAGAGTAAAGAATAGATGAATACCTCAGATGATAGTACTGAACAAAAATACAGGGTCTTTTGTGGAGAGGGTGTGCCAGAGTGTCTGGATCCTTCTACTAAAATTGTGCTCGATTGAATGAAAACCTGTGGAGTCAAAAGACACCTTGATGTTTCAGAACCGTTTGTTTGTTTGTTTTGTTTTGTTTTGGTAATTTCATCCATCTCTTTCAGTTCCATCTTTTTTTCTCAGTCTCTATGGAGCCAGGCATGTTGAGCTCAGTCTCTGGACCCCTTTCCTTTCTCATGCCATTGTTTCCTTGTTTGTTCATTCATTCATTCCTTAGTTCAGGGTTGATTGAGTTGCTGATGTTTTGGACAACCAAAACATCAAAACTTTCCTCAGGTCCTAAGGCTACTGTGGAGTTGATGACTGTGATGTCTGAATGAGAAATAATATAATTATTTATTTAAATCTCTCACTGACTTCATTATTAACTCTATTTTACAGATGGAGAAAATAAGATGCCACGAAGTACCTGACACACAGAACTTTTCAGTTTGCTGCTTGTAGTCTTTTCAGGCACAGGGATGATATACTCCGCAAATCAATGGAATTGTTATTTAATTGCTAATTGCTCTTAGCTTCCAGAAACAATCTCACCATATGCTATTGTTGACACTAACACAGAACTCTGATACTTCTACAGCATAGGCTATGATATCAATGAAATCGTCTCAGAAACAGTGACCATTTAGTTGAGATGTGAAGAACAGAAGGTCCCCATGGGGACCTGAGAAGCCTGCGTCAGAGAGCAAACAACTTGGTGTCTTCTTAAAACACAACCTTCTTCATTTCACAGAAGATATGATTGACCGTTCAAATTAACTCTCCTGGCTACTTACTGAGAAGGAATCATAAGAAAACAGGAGGGTGATTTCGAAAACTTTACAGAATTCCAGTAAAAGATAATGGAAGCATGGGTGCTGTTGGTGTACTAGAAATGGAAGGAAGCAAATGGTTTGATTTGATGGGCTGATGCAGGAAGTGAGATAGAGTGTGATTAAATGAATTACTGAGGTTGCTGACATTTAGTGAAGTGGGGGAATTTGGGAAGTTTTCAGGGAAAAAAATCTGTTTGTCCTCTGTTATCTTAAAAAGTACTTCTCACAACAGCATGACTCTGTTGTTGGAGCCTCTGTATCATCCTTAGTAGAAAATATGGGGCTTAAAGTCATTGCTTTTAACTCTGCAATCCAACATTGGAGGGTAAAGTTCAGAAACTAAATGATTACATAATGTGTTTGTGGGTTAGAGGAGGGGTCTCATAGCAGAAGGAAAGTGTGTTAAGCATTGGAATATAATACTGATATTGATTGAAAATACTCAGAAAGAGGGGGAAAATTGAAAATTGTTTTAACTTTGTGAAATGATATTAACTTGTGTCTTTACCTGAAAAGCTCACATTTTCTGCTTGATTTTCAAGGAACTCAAGGAAAGTTATATAAACCATTAAATCTGAAGTGCTGTCATAGTATTGTAAACTATATTTGACAATATCAGCAGAACACTCGATGTGTGTTTATGTCTCTTCTTAGAGGGGTTTGTCTCATGCCCTAAACTTTGTACTGGAGAGGGACTTGTGCATCTCAATGCTCACAGAATTCTCAGTCTCTGGGATCTGTCCCCTCTGAAAATGTC